CAACCACAGTAATGCGTCACTTAACCTCGGCTTATTATTACGTTACTCCATGAATAACACAAACAAACAAAAAATCCAAACAAAATAATAATATTGATGTGGTTGACAGCAATATTACTATAACAACAGTAATATTACCGTCAACCACAGTAATATTATTGTGTTTACAGTAATATTACAATAATAGACAGTAATATTATTACGTTACTCCGTGAATAACTTAAACGAAACAAAAAACCCAAAAAAATTAATAATATTGATGTTGTTGACAGTAATATTATTGTGTTTATAGTTATTTTACTGTCAACGACAGTATTATAATTACGTTGACTTGTCAACAAATCAAACAAAAAAAAAATAAAAAAATAATAATAATAATAATATTACATTAATTTACTGTCAACGACAGCACAATTACATAAATGTATTGTCAACGGCAGTACAATTACGTTAATTTACTGTCATTGACAGTATAATTAGTACGATAATTTATTGTCAGTGACAGCACAATTACGGTCAACGTTTAACAGCGGACGTAAAAAAAACAAACAAAAAAAAAACTCAAAAAAACACTAAAAAAAAGTCAACGTCGGAGACCGGCGAAAAAATCCGGAAGAAAAGAAAAACAAAAAAAAATAAAAATTGAAAAGTCAACGCCGGAGACCGGCGGCAATTTTTTTTTTTTTTTGAAAAAAAAATGTCTGTGAAAAAAAAATTGGGTTAAAATTGAATAATTTGTGAAATTTGGGGTCAAATTGAGATTAAATTGAGTTAAAGGATGAAATTGGAGCATATTAAAGTATGCTAAAAAAAAGTCAAAATTGAATTTTTGTGGTCAAAATTGGATTTTTGTGGACAAAATTGATTAAATTGGGGTTACAATTAAGAATTGGGTATAAATGATTGAGGGTAATATTGGGATATACATGAATGTTTCCTTTATTTATAATAAATATTAAAGAGAGGGGTTTATTGCTGAAAGAGATATAACCCCTAAGCCTATAATAATAAACATGCTTGGTTGGGGACTTTATCATAAAAAACCCCTTAAATTATGTATTCATATAATTAAATTGTCTTTTTTTCTTGATGGGGATGTCATAACTAATATTGTACCTTAAATAAGGTACATCATTTCCTTCGTGTTGGACCATTATATTCTCAATGAACAAGATTATATATACTATAGTACATAAAATAAATGTTGTCTGTTTAAAAAGCTGCCCGAAAGTACACAAGAAATTCAAATTATTCATTATTGTATTTTGACTATAGAAAGTATTTGTTGACCATGTAAATCACAATTTACTTAATAGGCATCCATCGCATTCAATTTTCCCCTAAAATCACTTATGTATTTGTCGATGGGGGTCGGTTCGGCAAATATTGCAGGTCAAATACTCGATATTTTTTGCAATTACGAAATAGTGAAAATACTATTATTTTCAACTTTTTTATTACTTTTGTTTAGTATGTTACAATTTTTTACGATTATAACGAGTTAAAAGTAAAAAGAAAATATTGAATTTGTAGAATTATAAATAAATATTAAAATAGCTAAATATTAATTAATGACATGCATTATATTTGCAGGTAGATTATCAGGAAATGTTGTCATGTCTGGTAATATTCATCTTAATGGCAAGAAAAAGTGGCTTCATTACGGCGTCGTTGTAAGTTTTATTTATCGGGGCAGTTTTTTTTCTAGGGTTGTTTTTTAAATTAGTAAACAAAATGGGGTTATTTTGAAGCGTGTAAACAAAATAGGGTATGTCGCCACTTGGTCTGGCGACTTCAATTAGTGTCGCCACGCGACTCCAACTATTTCTGCCACGCGGCGTGGCGACTCCTACAGCAGGTGTTTTTTTTTTTTTTTTTTCCTTCGTTTTTTTTTCAAAAAAAATTGTATTGTTAGAAAAAACATAAAAAAAAAATTGTATTTATAAGCATGTAAAATTCTCAATCATCTAATTCACTCAATAAAAAAATGTACAACTTTAAAAATACGTAAACAATAAATAAATGAAGTTTTACCAAATAAAATAGTAAGACAAAATAAATATTGTCAAAACAATAAAAAAAAGTTTTACAAAATAAAATGTCATAAAAAAAATCACTGCCTATGTCCACCAGTCCCACATGCATGACTTTTTTATGACATTTTATTTTGTAGAACTTTTTTGGAGCTTAACTTGGAATACTCAAATCCCCAAGAATGGGCTCGACCAGTTATTACTTGGAATTCCTTGTTGAGATCTCTAAAAGAAAAAAAAAAGACTGCTATTGGAGTCGCCACGCCGCGTGGCAGAAATAGTTGGAGTCGCCACCCCACGTGGCGGCACTAATTGGAGTCGCCAGACCACGTGGCGACGAACACTACTTCGTTTACAGCTTCAAAACGACCCCATTTTGTTTACTAATTTTAAAAACAACATTAGAAAAAAAACCGCCCCTTATTTATCCCCATTTTTTTATTTTATTTTTATTGTAACGTTGCATAAATGGGAATTATTGAATCTTAAATTAGGTCAAAATTTGACACTATCTATATTCCTGCCACGTGGATTGTGTTAGGTCAGTCTAAATAGAATTGAAGATGGTTTGGTTTATGTCTCAATAAATTGGTCTTAATTGAATAGTGTAAAAAAAGTATCTTTGCCTATTTGCAGTGTATATATAATTAATGCTGATAAATGGATTAGTTGAATTTTACAATATTAAATACTCCTTTGAATTTTTCCCTCTATCATCTTTACCATTCACACACACGCGCACAGAAACACGAACCCGTGTAGATTATCAGTAAATATCTACCAAATGTACATTTGACCGACGACCACAAAAAATAAATAAATAAATAAATACATTCCGATAGGGTAACACATAAAATTACGAAACAAATTAACGGGACTGACTTTACCACGAACCCATGTAGATTATCGGTAAATATCTACCAAATGTACATTTGACAGACAGATCACAAAAAACAATAAAAAAAATTCCGATAGGATAACACGTAAAATTACGAAACAAATTAACGGGACCGACTTTACCAGGCGTATGTAACTCAAGAAGATATCTTCTTGGGTACCCTAACGGTACGAGAAACCATCAACTACTCGGCCTTCTTAAGGCTCCCAAGCAGCACATCAAAACACGAGATAAACGAAACAGTAGAAAGCACAATTACCGAAATGGGCCTCGAAGAATGTGCTGACCACCTGATCGGGAACTGGCATTTGAGGGGGATAAGCGGCGGTGAAAAGAAGAGGCTGAGCATTGCGCTGGAGATCATAACACAGCCTCGTCTTTTATTCCTCGACGAGCCGACTAGCGGTCTTGATAGTGCCTCGGCCTTTTTTGTGGTCCAAGCACTTAAGAACGTTTCACGGAGTGGAAGAACGATTATTTCGTCTATTCATCAGCCTAGCAGTGAAGTCTTTTCCCTCTTCGACGATCTTTTGCTTCTGTCGAATGGCGAAACGATTTACTTTGGAGAAGTGGAATCTGCACTAGAGGTATATAATAATTAATAACATCAAATGTACATAATATAATATAATATAGCAAGATAATCTGAATTTAAAGAGTATTTGATGAATTTTTTTTTTGCAGTTTTTTGTTGAGGCGGGATTCCCTTGTCCACGTAAGCGGAATCCTTCTGATCATTTTCTACGATGTGTGAATTCGGATTTTGATGATGTGAATAACACTTTGATGGGTTCACAGAGAATGAGAGTGAGTGATTTAACGGATGATTGTAGAACTATTTATATTCAGTTGGTTATATTTATTTTTGGGTTCCTTCTTACAGGATATAAATGATGCTTCTGATCGAAAGATAATCAATTTGACAACAGCAGAAATACGAGCGAGGCTTCTTATGAAATATCGTAACTCAAAACTTGCAGCGAGAGTTAAAGCTAGAATCAAAGAATTCTCAACTACTGTGAGCATTTTTACATTACTTTCTTGCACTGTCTACTTCGATTATTTACGATTCACATCTGTCTTACTACGTACACACACACACACGAAGACACGGCAAATAAGGGGTGCAAATTTTCAAAAAAACTCGATCTGATAGAGAGAGAGAAAATATTGCAGGACGTACCTGTTTTCGAGAAAACCAGAGGAAGCCAGGCGACATGGTTTAAGCAACTTTCCACACTCACAAAGCGATCGTTCACAAACATGTCCCGAGATTTCGGGTATTACTGGCTAAGAATCATAGTGTTCATTACAGTATCCATCTGTGTCGGTTCCGTTTTTCACAACGTAGGATCCAATTATCACGCAATTCTAGCAAGGGGAGCCTGCGGTGGATTTATATCCGGCTTTATGACATTCATGACAATCGGAGGCTTCCCATCATTCATCGAAGAAATGAACGTAAAAGAAAAAAAAGGGTCCCACTTACCATTCAAATAATATCATCTTCGGAGAAGAAGCATATAAGTTTTTTTTTTCTCTGTTTCTAATAAACAGGTATTTTACAAGGAAAGGCTCAACGGACATTACGGAGTCGGAGTGTTCATTCTTTCGAATTTCCTCTCTTCGTTTCCGTTCTTGATTGCAATATCGCTTAGTTCGGCATCCATCACTTATTTCATGGTGAAGTTTCACCCTGGAATATTTCATTTCGTGTATGCAGCACTCGACCTTTTACTCTCTATAGCTGTAATCGAGAGCTGCATGATGGTTGTGGCTGCAGTTGTCCCCAACTTCATGATGGGGGTCATACTCGGAGCTGGTCTAATCGTAAGTCCTCTTTCCTTTTTTTTTTTCCTTATTCTTCTCTCTCTCTCTCTCTCTCTCTCTCTCTCTCTCTCTCTCTCTCTCTCTCTCTCTCTCTCTCTCTCTCTCTCTCTCTCTCTCTATAAACTAACCGTTACATGTTAATGCAGGGTATAATGATGGCTACAGCAGGTTTCTTCCGGCTCCTTCCCGAACTTCCGATGATATTTTGGACATATCCCGTTTCCTATATCAACTACATGTCATGGGCTTTACAGGTAAATAGTTTAATCAGTCGTAAATATAACATACTAAATCTTTTACTTCCCTTGTTTTTTTTTTTTCACTGGATTTGTTACATATAGGGAGCCTACAAAAACGACATGATTGGGATCGAGTTCGATTCTGTAGCGCCCCGCCCCGAGTAGCAGGCACCTCGTGGCGGAACACCACTCAACATGCAGTACATTCAATGACCCCAAATATGCTCCTCAAAATTTCGATGATCAAAACATTAAACCCCCAATATCTATATCAACATGTTTACAAAAGGAGGTTCTATTACAAGTCGACTTCGACACCACTTACTCTATTACAAAATTCTCGATCAACCTATACGGAACATAAATAGAGATACCTCTCGACGAGACTAATCGGAGGCATACACGAGCTTTAACTCTTAGTATGAAAATTTAGGTCTAAGTCTTTCTTTTACCTGCGCATTAATATCAGAAAGGAGAAACGAATAAGTCCGAATGACTTAGTGAAAAACATATGATCCATGAGTATGATGAGAATCAACAGAACAGAACATATAACGAGACACTTTACAAGAATTTCATTAACAGAAGTGTAATATGTACAAGAGTGTAACATGTACGGCTTGAGTTCAATATTTGGTGGGGTCTCCAACCTTGTAACTCCCAAAAAATAAAATCATATCACATCCTTATCCCTCCAATCCGTCCCGAGTGGCCACTCGGTCGGAAACAGGCAAGAGGCACGACCGGAACGTGCCGATCCGGCTCAGGAACGTTTAACTCCAAACGAACGTGAGTCCGAACCATCAGGAGGTACCATTCGGGAGACCAGTCATCGTCAGCCCAATACTGCCCGATCGTCTTGCCGAAATGGTCCTAGGGCCCAGCTCCCCCAAGAGCGTCCTCAAGGGTGGGGACAGTAGGTTCAAGAATCAATATTATTCCTTTTAGGAATATCAAGTCATTCATTTCAAGAATCAAGTCAATCATTCACAAGATAAGTCACGATCACGATAATTGAATATCAAGTCTCAGGATAATGAACATGTTCAGATTTCCATTCAAGCCAATGAAAGAATTGTCGTGAATATGGAATTCAAGAACAACAATAAGTTCCATGTCAGGTTCCAAGAACGAGTATATCAAGGTCTCAATGAATTCAATAAACATGAGATTCAAGTTCGAGCCAACGAAATATTTATTCTCGGAAAGCATTCAAGACAATATTTTGAGAATAAATATAATTCAATATCGATTCAAGGAAAATGTTCAGGCCAAGGAATCAAGTGTAGGAATTAAGCGTGAACATAGCAACCAAGAGAATTGACAAGTTCAAGATTTCAAGAACAAGATCACGGTTCCAAGTTCGAGCCAAGGAAACGAGTATGCTCGCAAAACATTAAGGATCATATTTCAAGAACAAATATAATCAAGGTATCGAAGGCTTCAATATATACAAAATATTTGGTTCAAACAAAGGAGATATTATGCGCAGGAAAGAAATTGGATAAGGAGTCATAGTTTCTCACCTGGAGTCCAACGCTAGTTCTATAGGTGCATCTTTAAGCTTAAACCTTGAGTGAGAGCTTTAGTACGCTCGACACCTATAAACATATTCATCACTTAACAAGATTCCAAATGCTAATATAATCGTATTATTCTACTATATCACATAGTCAATTTCTTGAAACATTTGTTACGAATGTCTTGCTGCCACAGCTTATTCGAACAATCGTTACGATCACCTTACTTATCCGAATAACCTAAACGATATATCGAATTAAAGCTAACATCAGTGTCTACAGGTTTACTGAAGACTCTGAGCCCAAATAATCGACCTAACACAGTAATAACAGCCTCGGAAGATGAGTACATGAAACTGCCAGGTTTTCGGATAATTTCGTTTGCTGTCACAGTTTCTTTAGAAAATCATAACAAATCGTACGGTTATCCAAATTGTCCAAATAATACATCAAATGAAACCTGGAAGTTTAATCTACAAGTTTCATGAAGGCACATAGCCCAAATTACGATCCCAACATATCGAAAACAGTCCCGCAAGAAGATACTCAAAACTGCCCTGTTTCCGGCAGATTACTGTCATCGGATTCCGACCTCGAAAACCCGTATATTAAATACTCTAATTGGATACAATTGAACACTTACTTAGAGTTTACGATGTCCTCTACGAGTTTCCCGAAGGAACCGATTCCAAATTCGCATTCGAAACCCTTCGATTTCGGCTCCGAAAACAGGTGCGGCAGCAGATTTTGCTTCCCCAAAATCCCAGCGGGCTGGCTGACTTCTCCGCAAACTCCGGCGACCACTGTCGGTGTAAACCATCGAGAACTACCACCAATAGAGAGCCAAATTCATTAGCTTTCTAACGATGGATCCTGATCAACGAGGTTCAATCTCAAGGCCTCTAAACAATTATTTCTTTGAAGGCCTAACTGCTGAAATTCGAATTATAAGTGACAACTTGTCTTCTTCGCCGGATTCCGGCTGCTGGAAATAGAACACCATCTCAGCCCCGTATCTTTCAACCATGTTGCTATTTTAAGATTTCTAGATTTACTAATTTAAAAATCAGAAGAACAAAGGTTCTAAAGGGGTGCTCGGCCGTGAGTTTTCATGGAGAAAGGAAGATACCATGAATATTGCTATTGCTAGAACTGTTAAATGAACGAGATAAAGATTGGTTAATTAAGAAAAGAGAGAGTGAAGAGATGAAGATGGAGAGAGAGAGAGAGAGAGAGGCGGTGAGAAGGTGAGAGAAGAAGAAGAAACGTGGCTGCCAAAGGAGTATTGTGAATTGACGATATACACGTCAATTCCTATCTCAACAATAAATTATGAAAATTGGCTATAAGGCCAAATTGTTTTCTTAATTACCAAATAGATGCCATAACTTTAGATAATTACAATTCTACACTTCACATCAAATTCGAGATATCTTATAATTCCATATCGACACGTATCGACTAAATAAATTCAATTATCCCCACACTTAAACAACTTGCACATTTACGGGGTGTTACAGATTCGCTCTATCCCGACCAACCAAAACTGAAAGGGGAAGAAGTACTAACCTCAATGATAGGCATAACACTTGATCACTCGAAATGGTGGGACCTGGCAGCAGTTGCAGCCATTCTCGTAGCTTACAGATTGCTCTTCTTTTTCATTCTCAAGTTGAAGGAGAGGGCTATGCCGATATTCAAAACTTATTACGCAAAGAGAACTCTTCACAATCTTAAGCAGAGGCCTTCTTTCCGAAAGACGCTGCCTTTTTCTTCGAAGCGACATTATACTGTCCATTCGTTGTCTTCTCAAGAGGGGCTAAACTCTCCGTTAAACTGAAACTATTGAGGCTTTTACATGGGGGTTTATTTTCGATTATACTATTATCACATTGTTACCTGCTATGAAATACTTATATGGAACTGTAGTGATTTGTACCAACCTCGATTCTCGGTTTCAAAGTGACATTCTATTACATCGTACGAATACGGGTGATCTATACATTAGTAATGTCATTAGATACAATATCAAATGCTATGTTTCCATATTGCTTCCATATTGTTGTTCTATTCATCTATTGTAAAAACCAAAATGTTCAGCTCAAAGCTTTATTTCTCGAAGAACTACTTATTTTGGTTATTGATAACAATTAGTAGGAGAAATAATGGGAAAAGGATCGGATAATCTAATAAAATAAATTTCTCACAAGTGGTAATTAATTTCGTATTAACCCGAAACCGGCCACACCAAATAGTATGCCAATCATATAAATATAAATTTCAGCAATTAGAATTATGAAAAACAACGATTAGTGTATGAAAACACGATTAGGAGCAGGACTCCTGAATTAGTTACTAAATCACTATGTCGCATTAATAAACCTAATCTATGATAATAATTAATAACAAATACAATCTTAGCACCCATTACCTTGAAAACAGAATTCAAATTGAAACAACCGCAGAGAAGCATTTCAAAAAGGAATCGTCACTCACATGTGTGCAGAATTGACCAATCGTTTATTTGTTCATCTATATTAATACTACGTACTCACATCTTCAATTTCTCTTCATCGGATTACTAACGGAAACTAGAGCGGTTCTACATGTAGACAAAAAGGGTTGACATATATACTATTTTGTCTAGATTCATAGGAAGTTGGAGAACAAATCGAAATATATTTCACATACAACTATATATATAAAATTTTCTTCTCAAAATTTATAATTTATGGTGAAGGATAGATGAAAATTTGACAAAGGAGGAAATGAAATGAGAAGATACGAAACAAGGGAGCCTATGGCTACTTAAATAATTAACTAATTAAGATTGTGCTAATTCTTGTTGTAGGAGAATTTAGTTTCTATAAGGGATCACAAACCAAAATAACACATTCGACATAAATGACGGAAATACTATATTGTGAAACGAGAAAGGAATTTAGATACACTGCACTGATAAAGTATTCCTCCAATAAATCAGGCCACGTGAATTAGACATCTTATTACACGTTTGCACTTTACAACAGTTTACACGGTGGTTTTAACAAGATATTCTCCATGCACATAAAACAACGATTCAACAATAATTTCATCTATTGCGAATCTATAACAACATTACGGCGATTTCTATTCTTTAACAAAGTAAGATACACAAGGCGACCAAGTAGCTTTTTTTACAAATTAGATACGACCAACCTGAGTGTACGCTCAAGCTTAACGGCGATTTCAGCAGCAGCTTTCACAATTTTAACGTTTCCTCTTTTATCGCTTTGAACACGGGGCACATTCTGGTAATATTCCATTTGTTACCTGTCATCACAAAGAAAGATTCCACCACGTTGAGTTCATTATATAGATGCATTTCTTCCCCTCTTCTTAACTAATAAGACAGGTAAACTCAAGGATTTGTAATAAAGGAAAATATCTTCAAGATTTTGTTCATTTCCGAAGCAGTTTCACTAATACATTAAAGAATAGTACCCACGCCAACTTTCTTCACTCGATATTAACAGGATATAGTTAATGAACAACGTTTACGACAAAACATCGAATCTAACTGAATAAAGCATTCTTCCCTACTATATTTTCATTTCGCTCGATCTACAGCTACTTCATTATTTCATCCATCCTCGTATTTAAAGGCGCAAGGAACGAGTTTTGAAAACTAAAAAGAGAAGTTGTTTCACCTAGGTGACCGTTGTTAAAAGTTGAGTCATCAAAAGCAAACAAAATTACATCCAAATCCAAAATACGGGAGCAGATTGTTAAATAAAACCATGTTCCTAATAATTCGAAAATACGGGAGCAGATTATTTTAGCTACTGATATGACACACCAGTCTCAACTCTGCCATCGTAACTTTGGTACGGAACTTCGATCATAGGTTTCGGTACAGCACGTTCGCGAAAGTCTTCTGGAAATTTTTCGAAATCAGGACCAAAGTTGAACTTAACAACATAATTTGGCTGGTCGGGAAGAGTGTACATTGAAGCAGCGGGGTAGTAACGACCACCACAAATATCTGTGAAAGAAACACCCTGACTAATTCCGTTTTTGAAATACGATATTTCACTCCCTGCATAGCACAAGTCATAGTTCATACATAGCTCAATGAAAAGTTTCGAAATAACTTATTTATATGAATAAAAGCAAGTTTCTGTGAGAGATAAATAATACTTGCATTTACATATATATTCAAGTATAATCGATGTGCAGGAAAAAAAAACGGTTACAAAATTAATTGAACTACAAAAATATTTAATCAGACAAATCATTGGATGAGAGAACGTAACGTGAGAAACTCTATTTATATCAATCGCTCTTCGTTCCTGAAAACTGTGGATACTGATTGAGTACCTACTTAAGTTCATGGTAGTAAGCAAGGAATCTCATCAAGTTTGAAATAAGACGTCAAATACAATGAACTAGACTTTCCATGAACACATACAACTCCCCAACAAAAACTGAGAGAATCCGGAGAGAAATTCAAAATTTCATACAAGAAGTCGGTGAAGCACTATTCGAGACGTGGGAGCGGTTCAAACAATTAGTAAGGAGGTGCCCGAACCACGGACTGCAAGAGTGGCGCCAATTGCAAATATTTTACGATGGATTGCAAGACAACTCGAGAACCGTGCTCGACTCTGCAGCTGGATGTATGTTCATGAGTTTGACCTACGACGAAGCATACAAACTCTTAGAGCGAATCGCTCGAAATAAATACATGCGGGCATCGGACCGGTCGAATAGCGGAGCCGTCAAGACGGGAGGAATTTTGGAATTAGACGGAGTCTCTGCAATCACGGCCCAATTGGAGAAGTTATCGAAGCAAGTAGCGGCTTTGCAGACTCAGCAAGTCCACGCAGTCCAAGTTCCCGACCAGCGCGCAGAAGAAACGGAGTCTCTGAGTTATGTGCATGACACCAACCGACAACAGAGGAACCCGTACTCCAACACTTACAATCCCGGATGGAAGGATCACCCTAACTTTGGGTGGGGAGGAAATCAGCAAGGACAAAGGCAAGCACCACCTCAAGGCCAACCGGCTAATTATTCACGACCAGCTCCCGGATTTCAAAATCCGCCTCAAGCTCAACCTCAAGGTGGAGATCTCACAAATATCTTGGCGCAATTTATGACAACCACCCAAGCCTCCATCCGAAATTTGGAAACACAGATGGGTCAACTTGCAACCCAGCTAACCGCGAGGCCATCGGGAGCACTGCCGTCGAATACGGAAGATCCTCGGAAGAACAACGTCGAGCAGTGCACCGCTGTGAGTTTAAGGAATGGGAGACAATTGGAGGAAGCCCCACGAAAAGAGACGGAACACACGGTAATCGAGGAGCCGAGCGTGATGGGGGAAAAAGAAGCAACTCACGAAGAACCACTATCATCTCCAGTGAATCACGAGCCCCTCTAATTCCATATCCTCAGAAGCTTATAAGAAGAAGCTCGATGCCATTATCAAAGATTTTTGGACAAGCTGAAAGAAATCCACATAAATATCCCGTTTATTGAAGCCCTTCAAAAGATGCCAAAGTGGGTGAAGTTCCTCAAGGATCTCGTGACAAAAAGGAAGAAATTGCAAGGGAACGAGATGATCCAACTCACGGAACAATGTAGTGCAATTCTTACACGGCCCCTTCCACAAAAACTCGACGATCCAGGTAAGTTCACTATCCCTTGTACTATAGGAGGTAAAAATTTTAGATCGCTTATTGATTTAGGTGCTAGCATTAATCTTATGCCTTATTCGACTTTTAAAAATCTTGGGTTAGGTGAGATTGAACCTACGGCTATAACTCTTCAATTAACCGATAGATCTTTAGTTTACCCAAAGGGTATTTTAGAGAATGTGCTAGTAAAAGTGAACAAATTTATCTTCCCGGTTGATTTTGTTGTACTCGATATAGATGAAGATAGGGAGATACCTCTTATTTTAGGGAGACCGTTTTTAGCCACTTCGAAAACTCTAATTGATTGTGCTAGTGGTGATCTTACAATGACGGTGCATGATGAAACGATCAAATTTAATGTTTTTTGTGCTAATAAAAATCCATGTGAGAATAATGAGTGTTTTAGTATTGAGCTTATGGATTTTACAAATCATGAAAAAATTGATGTTTCAATTTTGGACCATGGGAAAGCATCGTTGAGTGCAGGAGATGACAACGGAAAAGGGAATCGGAAGGAGCACAATTATTGTGCGAACTCAATTTCAACTCCTCCGAGAGATAGTCAAAAGAGTTGGGGTGCTAACGGTGACGAACGTGCAAGGAGGATGTGGCCACCTAAAGAACCAAACGAGCATTATCGGAGAGACGAATTCAATCGCCAAGTGACTTCGGTCACGTTAGCTTGAACAAAGAAGCAGGCAAAGTTCGGCTGAAGACTGTAAACTTAGCGCTTCTCGGGAGGCAACCCGAGCTTTCGTTTTTCTTATTTTATGTTTTTTTTAATTTTTAGTTTGTTTTTATTTTATTTTTCTGAAAAAAAAAAGTTTCAGGGGCACTAATAAGATTTTTTTATTTTTCAGGGGCTTAGTTGCAAAATTTGCAATTATTCACACGGCCGTGCAAGGAAAAGGCAGGAATCTCACACGGCCGTGTGAGATATCGATGGTGCTACTGTCCAAAATTGGAAAAGGGCACGGCCGTGCGGATTTTACACCTAAATCTCGCACGGCCGTGCGAAATTTGAAGAGGCTACTGCCCAAAATTGGAAAAGTGCACGGCCGTGCGAATCAAAAAAAAAAAAAAAAAAAAAAAAAAAGAATTCCATAATTTCAAATCCTCTCTCTCCCCCACTTCGAACCCTAGCCTTCCTTTTTTTCGAAATTTTCCCTTTTCTTTGACAAATTTCACCGAAAATTTACCAACTACACACATGTAATACGTAATCAAGGTGGTTTGTTGTTGATTTCCGCAGGAAGATTCAAGAACGGTGCAATTTTCTCAAAAAAAAAAAAAAAAAAAAAAAAAAAAAAAAAACCATTCCACCAAGAACGCCCACAAGGTGTTCGACGATTTTCCCGCAACGATTCTTGAGCCGGTACCCGAGCTATTGGAGGATGACGAGGAGGATGATGCTCATGCACATGGTGGAGTTGGTGAGCAACCCGACGATGGTCCCGACGCTTAAACAGGTGTTTTCTATCCTTAAACTTCGGGCAAATCACATTGAGGGCAATGTGAATTTTAAGTTTGGGGGTGGTTAACTAATTGTTTTCGTTTATGTGCGTTTTATTTGTGTTTTAATTATTATTTTTTAGTTTGCATGCTTTAGTTTCTGTTTTAGTTTTTGTTTATTATTTCCGTTTTATTATTTGCTTCGACGCATCGATGAATTATGATGATGGGAGATGGTCAATGTTTGATGATGAAATTGCTTGTTTTATGTGATAGGGAATAGATATTTGTTTAGCTTTCGATTCAACGGAACGTAGAAGTGAATTATTGCTAGGAATCACACCTTGTGCATTGCTTTGGTTGAATGTTTTGCATTTTAAATTTGGAATTTATTTGTGCTAAATCATGCTTTGTTCGGTTTTAAATCTCACCTTAGGACATTTATGATACGAAGTGTTGGGTAGTAAGTGATTTGGGATATGATTTGGGCCTTCTTTGAACCGTTTGAGCCTTTCAATCCTACCTTTAAATTTTAATCCTTAGAACATTGATTTGAGCCTCGGAGAAAAGGTGTTTTTCTTTTAGA